TTGTATTATAGATGACTTTCTAAAATTCAGTTCACTTTTAATTTCCCGCGATAATATTCAACGGATAGTTTATATAATATTTGTAATAGAGAGGTGAGAAATAAAATTTGAACTAAAAATTAAATAAAACCTTTTGAAAACTCGCTTACCTAGTTACTGATTTTTATTACGTTAATCAATATCTGATTACTATAAAGCAATTATCTTAATTATACTCACATTTGCTATACGATCCTATTGAAATTTTCTCTTAATCATTTTTCTTCTCTTATCGCGTAAACGTAAATCGAGCTGCAACCGAGCATGCGCCCGTTTAAGTTACGAAGATAGAGATTTAACAAGGTACTTACCTACCAGTCGCCTATACGGACCAAAACGGATCCATCACGAAGCTACCATTTTTCTTTAGCGCCGCGCGTGGCGCGAGTCCGCGCGATAGGTAATATCTCTCGTGAGAAACGCCCTTGCGTGATCGGCCGCGTACCCCGCGTTGGTATCGCGATTCGACGTCTAGACGGCGGAGGGAGGGTGTGGTCCCACACCTTGGTGGACTTCTCCGGCTGTACAGTAGCGACTGGCCGAAAACCGGTAGTCGGCGGTAGGGCGGTGCACAGTAGCGACTCTTCTTTGGTTGGCTACCGGCCTTCTCGCTGTGGCGAGCGAACGAACGAGGGCTACCGCTCCTTCCTTTATTCCTCCATACACGCGAGAACGAGTGCACGCACATCGAGCCGGAGCTCACTTGGTTGGCCGTTCTCCGTTCTTCTTCGATTGGCTGCCGGCTCTTTGTACCACGCACTCCGCCCTTCGTATCGCGCGATAGAACTCGGAAGGTACTCGCGATCGCCCTTTTTCCAAAGTCTCGATAATTTTCGAATAAAGCGAAACATCGTACTGTCGAACATTTCTTTTAGATTACGCTCGTTAGGAGTAACTCTTAAGTGCTTAACGAAGTCCGTTGGTTATTTTTCTCATGAACAAATTAGTACGAGATGAAATTTATTTTGACTGTAGATAGTTAATGTATACAATTTTTTTTATCAATTTTCAATATCCAGAGATACTATTCACTATACAGCACGATTATTCGGAATGGATTCCGATCGAAATCTATCCCGAATAATTCCATAATACGTACCCAGCATAGATGCTTGTAGCAAATTGCTGTATGGATATATAAACGTATATTGTTATACGTATTATTGATGATTATATTTATAATATTAAATTCATTTTTATACGTTTGTTTTTCTTAATTTTGCTCTTTGTTATAAAAAAACCTAACTTATTTGTATTAATTACATCAAAATACAATGACTTTTCTATTGCGCGAATTGAATTAATAGTCATAAATAGCACGATCATCTTTATACGTTATAAAAGTTAGATTACACGATATCTATTTTAATTGCTTATTTAATCGTGCGCAATTCTATTCTCGTCAAGAGGAAGCCTCACTTGATTATTCCGCGCATTCCTTCCTCTAGCATAGTTCACAACAAAATTCACTTTTGCGTAGCTCCGTACATACCAAAACGCTTCGCCTATTCGCAAATCTTCGTCTAATATGGCGCATTATAAACGCGAGCGTCTACATATATCGCATTATCATACATTATCATACATTATCATACATTAAATGAAAGCATTCGATCACGCGAACTCGGTAGGCAAACATGGTAGCTGGCGATGTTCGCTTTTCAGTGATACATCGTTAACTCGTGTTCGTATTTGTTGCTTCGCAAAATTCTTACGTCTTGTTACACTCGCAATTTTATATATATCATTTTTATATATATCATTTCAGACGTTCCTTTATCCCGCAGAATGTCATTGAAGCAAGAAATAACTCGGTAGCTTAAGTCTGTTATTTTTTTCTGCATTTTTATCGACCAGTCGAATTCAGCAAACTTAGCGGTTATCAGAGAACACGATCATATATTATCGACTCAAGATTATATTTGCACGTCCTCATCGGCATCGTCTGTAATATAAAACCTGAGCGTTTACACGGCTAATGTCGTTTTCCTCAGCACCCAACTCATTAACGCACAACTCATTAACTTCGCTTCACGCAAAGTGAGAACCTGTTCCTACCACATGTACCCGTCTCGGGTAATACAAGCGTACTGTGACCTCGTAACTCTTCGACAAGATTGCCATGTAGTAGCTGGTGTTACCGTTCGTTTCTGCGGACGTACATTCAATACCCTGCGACAGGAGTAGCTTTGTGTCAGTTTGTTATTCGAAAGCAAAATGACTAAATTTCAGAAGGGACAGACGTTAGAAAATCTCACCAGAATTCTCTGGAGATAAAATTTCAAATGGTTTTCTATTCTAACAAACTGCACATAAATAAATAATTTTCGTCTACAAAATTACAAAAGATATTGTGGTTCTCTACCTCTTTCTTTATTTACGGATTTATAAAATCGTTAAATCCTTAGAGGCATGGGCGGGATTAGTTTACACAAAACTGTAAATCCATATGCATCGAATATTTGCACGTAAACTTTTAACGGAGTGACGAAGGTGTCCCGTTCGAAGCTACAGTTTCTGCGTATTTTTCTACATTTTTTTACGTGACCCAGCTTATCATTAGATGGATATTTATATGAGGTCTGAAGCGTCGGACGTCAACGATGACGAGAGCAAACAGAAGCGTGATATTTTACCAGGGGACGGAACGGATCATTTTTGTTTTTCTTTTTTATGTGAAATGTGGAGTCGCGCGTAATGCGCAGTTCCGATTAGGCTCCACCGCCTGTTAGCCACGCTAACCAACCGGGCTACGCCCAGGCACCGCTTATTACTCATTCGGACACGCCACTTTATTCGAGCGTGCGCCGTACGCTTAATGCGAGCCGGTAGCGACTGGCCGACACTCCTGTACAATGGCCGCACCGCGCGATTGGATCCCGCGGGCTATTTTTTAACATGCCGATTCCAATTCGAGAACCGTGCCATTAGACCGTGGCAATACGATTCCGATCCCTCATTCATATTCGGCTGAGTACGAGGGAGTCCCAAAAGTAATACTTACACGAGGTATAATTTGGCATATTGTACGTACCTTGAAAAGAAGCTAAATTCTAATAAATCATTTTTTTGAACAGTGCCGAGTAAATATTTATTTACTAAATATAACGATATATTTATTTATAGTACGAGAATCGTTAAATTTCTTTAACTATTATTTCTTATTGAATAAATATTTATTTGCTGTACGTAAATATGTATTTAGATGATACTATTTAAATAAATATTTATTAAAATTTAATATTTTTTTTTTTCAGTATACAATTCATATTCTTCTTTTCTATTTCCATCATGGAGGGAATGTCTTCTCTAGATATATGCGTAGCGGCGGAAATATTAAGTAATAAAATAAATACTAATTTTTAACGTGTGAAAATGGAAATGACTTCAGTGGAATTCGATTACATCAGACCTCTTAAATTATTTCCAAAGTTTAAGAGACATCTCAAGGCGATCATGTTGAAGATTATTTATAAACGGTACAAAGTAAAATGTACGAAATCGAAAGATAAATTTCGGATAATTTTTAATTATAATTATTATAATTATTATGCAATAGAAAAGTATATATAACATAAAGATAATATGAGGAAGAATAAATATATGCAAGCAACATATTTTGAACGGATTATTGTGTTCTTTTTTTATCAATGGTTATCATATAGTTATCATATAAACAGTATTTTACTTAAATTTTATTGAAGAACTTAAAAATTAACTCATATTAATCACATAAAAGTTAATCGATAACTCATTGCTTTTATGCTTTTTTTTAGAACAACGTCACGAGCTCGGGAAATATTCTCATGATTTGCGTGGCGTCGGATAGTTAGCGTAAAGATTACGGATCGTATTTGCGACGTGCATTTAGCGCTAATAGTGGTTCTTCCTCCTCGATTACCATGAATGTACACAGCATCTCATATGAATGAAACTTAAAACTGGACAGTCGCGTGTTTGAAATTAAATATGCCCGGAGGACGTGTCGGAGCTAATGATTTAAACTTGCGAATGGAGCAGACGCACCCAATTAGGAAACTAGTCATTAATTTTTTTCAGAAGCACACAGCTTTTTATGGGCATTCACATCATGTTTTTCTTTTCCTGGCTGAGAAACTTGACACATAAATATTTGAGATAGTCACAAGTTTAAAACGGTATATTATTTCTAATAGCTTTTGTGAAAAAATCTTATTTATCATTTACCATTCATTCGCAGATATAACTTGACAAGGTTTTTATAGAGTTCTAAATAAAATTATACAGAAGATCTTTATATATGAAAATTCTACAAATTCTCAATTTTATTTAATGAAGCATCGATATAATAGCTTTTCTCATTTATATATATATATTTCTTACAAATACAAGATGTAATATCTATTAATAATAAATTATAATATTTAAGACGAAATCATTGATTCGCAGGAGTAAATTACAAAAAAGTGAAATTACAAAATAAAAATTGCTTGTGACATTTCTGCAAAAATGTTAGACATTCTCTTATCTTATATATTTATATATAAAAATGTTATATATATATATTACAATCACAAATATTATTTTTTACATCTCCAGAATTATCATATTATTGAAAATGAATGATATCTCGTAATAGACTTTCCTCGCAGAATCAGTTGTAATTAGCTTGTGTTTCAGAGTTATCCTTTATATACATAGGTTAAGTACTTCCCTATGTCATTTTAAAAGCAAATTCAATAAAATATCGCGATAATAATTCGATCGGAGAGAATTTCTATTCCGTAAGGCACATTGGCATGCGCGTGTCTCTCCACCTACGCATCTTCGTAAGGAATGCAAAATATACTTCAGAAGTAGCTTTAACGTTACTAACCCGTTGCTCGTAGGCAACGGCGCTTCGCGTAAATATCTCAGATACGGGCGTCCCTCGCGAATACTCCGCTCTCGCGACTCCGGGTGATTCCCTCGAGCGTGCGAGTCAGATCGGAGGAGAATCATCGATTCTGTGCTCTTTGCAGGCAGCGATACGAGGATTCTCTCGCGACGTGGTACAAGCAGTGATCTCACTCCCAGGAGTCAGCCGTGCCCGAGACTAGCTTTGCGCGGGAGGAGAAGAGCGAAGTCGAAGAACGACAGTCAAGAAAGACAGATAAAAAGAGAAGGAGAGTGCATACGAAAGTCTGCGAACGAGGCAGAGAAAGATATAGAGAAAGAGAGAAGAAGAGAGAGAGAGAGAGAGGAGAGAGAGAGAGAGAGAGAGCGACGGAGAGGCACCAAGAAAAGGGACAGAGGAAGACGTGGTGGGAGTGACTTCGGGCGTTAGCAAGAGAGCGAGAGAGGCGGGTAGAGGGAAAGGAGAGATAGAGACTCGACCAAGAGAAGGAGCGGTGGGAATTTATAAGGATGTTCGCGATAATGCCGATGGAGACAGAGGGGCACGGCAGGGAGTTCGGCCGGCGGCAGAAGATGCGCGCCAAGTGCACGGTAGAGTTCGTCTGCAAGTACTGCCAGCGGCGCTTCACGAAGCCCTACAACCTCATGATCCACGAGCGCAGCCATAAGGACGACGTGACCTTCACCTGCGAGGTCTGCGGAAAGACCTTCAAGCGGCAGGACAATCTCAAGCAACACAGGTACACCGTCACATTTCATTTTTACCATTTTTTTTTTCTTTTCACTTCGTTTTATTCGACGGTTTTCGTTACGTTTAATTTTTTTTTTTTTTTCGTTACGCGTTTATATTTGCCCTTCGAGGACTTCTATTTTTGCGCGCTCGCACGGGACACGTACGTGATCTGATCCATGATCAATTGCCGCGATCTCTTGAGTGACTCTTTAGGGGGTCCCTTACAAGGGTCCTGTACGAGTACATGGCGTCGCGTATATGAAAGAGAAGCCCGTGACACACACCTAACTAGAATATTGCCAATGTTCCTGTGAAATATCGCGGCAACCGATCGTGAATCAGATGTCAGTGCGTGACTCTCACTTGCAAGAACCTGCGCTCGAAATGCAATAGAAAAGCTATCGGGAGACGTTTTGCTACGCGTCCTCGTTGTTTGCCATACGACAAGATGGGATGATGGAAAATGATTAGTTCTCAGTCAGCAATCAGCTCGAGAAGTCGAGCTAGATTGAAATTAACTGCCGTTAGATTGCATCATCGGCTATCGTAAACATCTTTTTGTTGTGATTATCTATTTTTTTACATAGCACAGATAATAAGGACGAAAATTGTGATTCTATTGTATGTATTGTAATTAATAATCATTTTGATGTGAAGTAGTGAAAAAAAGGTGGAAAGTTTCAATGATATCCATTATGTGTTAGATCATTTTTATTATTTGCCTTCATATAATAACCGTAAAAATTAAAGCTACTTAGTTGCGCGTAGAAATTTCAGTTAAGATGAGATTGGCACCTGGGAAACCGGTCAGATCACCGATTTGACCTTTCGCAAAGTAAAAAAAAAAACGATAGAGCAAAAAGAAGCTAATACTTTATGATTTGCTTCGAGAACTAATCTGGTCCACGATTTGATCACTTCTCGATAAATATCTCGTCGCTCGCAAAATTACGAGACGCAAAGCACGAATTGTTGATTAGCTTTTACATAATGAAACAAAGATACCGCACGAAAATGAGTGGAATGTTAACCCTTAGTAGACACGTTTGGTTTGAGTATTTTTAATACACACGGTCATTCGTCTCTTAGTTTAATTTTCATCATTTTTACAAGTATATATAAATTATTAAACATTTTTTACATATATTTTGAACATCTTTAGAAAGTATTTGTGCAGTTATATATTTATAACAAATTGTAGATAAATTGTTGTAACTAAATGTACGTAACAGAATCAGAAAAATACACTATTTACATATAAAAATATAAAATTCTGAAACAAAAATGTTTAAAAGATAAGTATGGTTCAGTATGTTAAAATTATTCCAAACTACAAGAAAAAAAATAGTTCAAATGTCGGCTATCCCAAAAGTTCAGTTATTGAGTGACCTGAAAATGATGTTTTTTTAATATACATGAATGACTATAAATTGAAGATATATTGCATTTACATTTTAAAACAATGAATTTTATTATTGCTATATTGTGTTAAAAAAATTGATAATTTATTAGAAAAATGTTCTTTCTAACATTACAGACATAATATATAATATTATTAACAACATTTAGGACAAAGGTACCAAAAATCGCGTTTATTAAGGGCTAATATGTTGTTTTAAAGTTAATGCCTTTTTTTAATAATTCGCGAAATATTCTCGCAATACAATCGAGAATTAGTTGAAGTTTTAAAGAAAAATAAAATTTTTTTAGTTACAGAAAATGTACGCTCTGTACACACCTTGGGTCATTTATGACCCAGAAGTGAACTTTGGAGTTATGCCAGTTAAAGGACACGAATCGAGGCCGGTAACGCACAAAACTTGTTCTCTAGATGCCAAACTTTTTTTAGTAATAGAAAAAAGATCGGTATTTGACCAAGTGCTCTTAGTATTTCAAAAAAAAAAAGAAAAAAAAATGGGCAGAACACGAATGACCCAACATACTTAGGGTTAATATCGTACATAAAAACGTCTCACGATGGTCCTTTAGTTATTATAACATTGATTAACGATGCTGGCGCAAACCGTTCCATGCGTAAAAGATTTAACGTTTAAAAAAAAAATGGATATTATAATAAATATAAAATGTATAGTATAAAGAAAAACATGCAAATACCAACTTGGCCGCACCCGAATCAATTTACAATTTTATAAATTGTATCTTTGTGTGATCCGAGCTATCTTATTTGTGAATCAAAAGATATTTTATTTTTGCTACGTATATAAGGATGTTAATGCAATGTCAACGCAATGTCAACGAGCGAAGAAGAAGATATATTAGTTTAAAGCTATAGCGGATCACGAGAAAAAGATGCGATTGAGAAAGGTTTATATGAGTCATTTTTATGCATATAAAACTAGTTTAAGTCCGTCAAAGAAAGGATGACATCATGTTACAGCAGAGAAGGATTGCGTCGTTTTGAAAGTGACACGATAATAAATTATAATTAATTATATTTTTTATGAATATGAGTTAACTTAGTATTAAATCATAAATTCCACTTAAATTCTAGTTAAGATATTACATCAATATGCAACAGATTCCAATATAAATGCAATTACCCTTGTGCAATTTTTATCATTTTCCCAATTTCGGTCAAATGTGTATTCTTTAAAAAATAAATAACAATAAATAGGCAAAGTAAGAGTCAAACACATTTCTTTAAAAAACTCACCGAATTGAAAGCATAAATTACAAATAGAGAAAAGTAAAATTGAAAAAATATATAATAAAATGAAAACTCAGTTTAAATACAAATAAATGTTTAGATATTAGATATTTGTGACTGTTCAATCGTATGTGAATAATGTCGCGTTCTACATCAAGACTCATCCGAACTGTGATTATATTGAATATGCGAACGTTTCCGATAATTAATTTTGTTACAGTGATTTTTATAATAAGTTAATGTCTGAAGAGGGCTCAATCCGGCAGCCGAAACATATAATTCATTTGTAATTTATTTGTATTTACATTGAATTTTTATTTTATTATATTTTTTCAATTTTACTTTTCTCCATTTATTCTTTTTAATTGTGTGACAATTTTCAGAAATATGTTTGACTCTTAATTTGCT